TAGGGAAAATAAATCCTTCAAAAATGCAATCCGTATAATTTACAGTAATGGTAAACTACAATCTAATTGCAACCATCTGCTTAGCTGGTATTTTCTCTGTGCCCCAGCCCCAGCCGTAGGAAACACTGGCCCAACTGGTCGAGATGTAACTCGGAGCCACTCAATAGTGCTCCAAATAGGTTTCTAAAAAAATACCACACAACTGTTTTCATGGCACTTAAAATTTTTAACATATGAGAGCAGCAGTAGAGTGAAAGAAAAGATGCGCTCCCCGGTTTTCCTCACAAATGTTTGCAAAGGCAAATACTGCAAGATAACGTTAAAAGTTTCAAATATGACTTTTAGTGGCTATTTCACATGTAAACTGGAGTAAAATCATCTCCTTTAAAGCACCAAGTACTTACATGTCATTGAAATGGAGAAAGTCTCTGAAACAAAGCCTAAGTAAACGCGTTATAGCCAAAGCCCATTGGGAAATCAATGCTTACTGAATTTATTGTTGTCACAGACTTAAAATGATAACAGCAACTTAAAACTGCAATATGTAATAAAGTAACAGTGATTTCAAAACATACTAGCTTGGTATTTGAAATAAAAATGTTGCCAACTTTCATATTTAGCCATCAATGTGACACATTGGGATGAGGGGAAAAGCTAATTGTTTCTACTAATGATGACATATCTTACACACGTCAAACAGAGGACACCTATGCTTCCATAAAAATACTAGCAAAAATAAACGCAAAAGCATTATTTTCCTCCATCACGAGTGTGTTCTAAGTTTCATGAAGCTACACACTTTACTTCTCACATTTATACTGTTAGAAAACTACAGAATGAGGAAAAAATTCCTATGTCTAAAGCTGGACACTTAGTTCAAATGTATCAGCAGAGGTATATAACTAAACACAGAATATCCTACAGTTTCTTGCTTCAAATTATTTTTAAATTAAAAGCCATCACCACCACAAAAATAAGCCAAGCAGGCCCAAAGTCCCTGCCCAAGGACTCACTTTGAGGCTGTCCAATTTCCCAGTCAGCAGCAGTCATCGCATTCTGAAACTGTGTTTAGAAAGAGAAATCAAATAGGAAATGTGGCTCTGATCACAAGTATTGGCTTGAAAAAAGTCAGTTACTCTGCATTTTGAGTTAAAGAACATTTAGGCCCTGAACTAGGCAATTCCCAGTCAGAATCCTCCTGTGTCAAGACCAGGCTGCGGTGTCAAAGCCTTCTTACAAGAGGCTGATGAAAGTTTTTAAACCAGCTGGTTAACACAAGTATTTAACCTGATCTGGTTCACTAAGAAGAAAACTGTGAGTGCACAATGAGGAGCATATGCTTTGTTTTTATCTAATTCTTTAGGGCCTCCTGCATTTAAGCAAATTAAAGTCTCCCATTTAGTAATCTGAAGATAGAACGTAAAGTACTGAAACGATGGCGAATAAATGTAGACTTGAAAGCTTTTGAGTTCTCAGTCAAGAAAAGGAAAATTCTGTGATGGCAGAATTAGCAATCAAGTGAAATAAACTGGAAAAAGACTATAAGAAATTGGGAGGAATAGGAGGGAAGGATGTCCCACAGACTGAAACCATCTCAGTGTGGTTCTACACATAAGTATCTGCATGATGCTGCAACCATTTCTGTAGAGGAAGGTAAAACATATTCATCTGTTCATTTCATTATTAATATGCAATTTTTTAATTTGCTCTAGACCAATACTGATGGAGGCCAGTATTTATCTAAAAACACCAGTGACAATGTCATCCTGCAAGACGACTAGAATTGGAGGCCACCACAGGGTAACTGTTTGATGAGACTTTTTACTCCACACAGTTATATCACCGTCTAAATTTTTTCACACTGAACACAACTTAGATGACCAATGAAAGCTTCTTACTAATAGTAGGCAAGAGTCTGCTGGAAAACACAGAAGGGCTCCTTCTCTTAACACCAGCATCACCAGTAATAGCTTATGAAAAGCTAAAAGAATTTTGCAGAGTCATAGCATGGTTTGGGTTGGAAGGGACCTTAAAGATTATCTGGCCCAACTCTCCTGCCATGGCCAGAGACCAGGTTGCTCAATTTAGCCTATGGTAACTAAACAGCCAGTGAAGAGAAAAAGGCACTTTTGGACAGTAAGTCAGCCCACCTAAAAATCTGAGCAACTCTTGAATGACAGCTCTGCTTCTGCTTGTGGTTACCCAGGGAGCTTCAGGTACTCATGGCTCTCAGCCAGGCACTTTAGTTTGTGGGATGAACGTCGGCCAAAGAGTCCAGACAACTCCAAGCAGTGGTGAAAACAGAATGAGTGAAAAGAGGCTGAGTGCCAGCAGAACCTGTGAAGTAACCCTGGAGCAGAGCTGGGAGGCTCGTGAGACATGGGTAGTCAGGCAAAACTGAACAATTTACACTGCGAGATTACATCTCCAGCAGCGACAGAGAACTTGGAAATGCTCTGAGCAGTAAAGACAACAAAGCTACAGTGCGAGTCGAGGAGTTTCACATGTTGTTCTTGCTCGCAGAAGTATCCATTTTCTTTAAAAATTCTGACACAAAAAGAGACAGACTTTTCTTTCAAAGTGACAGCCCAGAATTCTTCTGCCAAACCCCTGAAATGTCAATGAGACTCTGCTGCAATGACCGTCCTCTGGGGCTGCCACTGTCAGTGGCTGGCACCAAATCCACAGCATTGAGTTGTTTAGGATTTAAAGATGCAAAGTAAATGAATTCACTGATGTGTGGCACTGTGGTAATACACATTCCTTCATCCAGTAACAGCAACACCAAAGGGCAAATTCAAACCAGTCTGAAACCTCTTTCTTTGTCTCCCTGGAACCTATAGTCCATGTTATGATGGAATAACGCACAGGGAAGTGCGTTATTGAGACATTATATATGCTATACATACTCCAGTCTCTACACCTTACTTTTAAATCACTATTTTGTTGACTGACTTTTCATGGAATTCACTGCAAAACAGTAAGTGCTGCCAAAATTCAGGCACAGAGATTAGATTGAGTGATGACTCTGCTGGAACCTACTTTTAGATAATGATGGCCACTGTGACCCAAATAAATAAATAAGAAACAAAACAAACTTCTTTCAACGACATGATCAGCAGTTATCTCCTGTTTTACGTGTCATGCCAAGACAAAGTACAGAAAAAAGAGTTGAGCTAAACCATAGGTTTCCCAAGGATGTCTTGCTTTAAAAGCTGTCTCACTGTGTGTGGTTATGCTTTATATAAATATCACACAAAAATCTGAACCTGAATAAATCAACTGGTCAATAAAAATAATGACTATTTCTTATTCAGTTAAGAACACAGAGATATTTTGCTATCTAGATTAAAAAGATTGGAATCTTCAGTAATGATGATAAACTTTCATGTCAGCACCATGCTAAATGATTCCGATTTTACTAATATTGACCTGCTGGAAGACAGAATAAAGAGCCACATAATTGGAAATACTTCAGATATACCTCATGATTAGTATTTCCAATATTGCATTCACAGTATTTCCTTCCCAGCAATGGGAAACTTCACATCAATGAAATGCAGATACTGCAGTGAAAATAAATCAAAACTAAATAATATTGATCATCTGTTTCCAGTCTTCTGTGTAAAACAAACATTTATATTTATGACTGAAGCAATATTTCCATTAAAAACTCCTACTTCCAAGCACTTTCAGTGGTTTTGAGAAAAACTGCCCAAGAGGATAAAGTTTATCAATTTCTTCCTTAGTCTAGTGAAGATTTCTCTTCCCATGTACCCCTCCGCCTTCACTACATAGGAGACAGAAGGAATTAATAAAAATCTTCCCGGTTATTTTAGAGCTAAATAAGTGAAGACAGGAGGCATTTTTCACAGGTTAAGGATTGCACCTAAGCTTTTTATGTTGCTGTACAATAAAAGGAATGTGATTCATCCTTGTCGCTGAAGAAAGAAACTCACAGATAAAAAATAAAACTGACAGGCAAGTGGGAAGCAAAGACGGATCAGCAGAGGAGTCAGGCGAAGAAAATTCCTCTGACATCATTAAATCCAGCCCTTAAAATAGCACTGCTTATCTAGCCCAGAATTCTTCCTTTCTGGAGAGTGACAACAAAGCAAGACCATATCAGAGAATAGCAAACTCTTAAGGGATACAAATCAGTAAAGAAGTCATTTTAGAAGATGAATTGATATTGATAATCAAAGGGAAAAGTAAAAAAAAAAAATTGATAAGCAACACATCTTGGCTAAAATCACAGCCAATTATTCAAGTGTCAGTTATTCAAATGTCAGTTTTTCAAAATGTATGGAGATTCACTAAGTGCCTTGTCATAGCCTTAATAAATAAATAAATAAATATTTTTCTAATAAACTCCACTGAAAAGCAGAGATTCTTCAGATACTTGGTCCCCACCCACCCCACCCCATCCCAAAAGCATTC